GGGGGGGGGTGCGGCATGGGACACACCTGCATAGCTCCGCCCTGTGCTCATGTTAGTTGGCAGTAGTGTCCATTTGTCTGTGATGGGATTGTAGTACTCCACCGAAGCCAAGTTGCAAGATCCATCATCCCCTCCAACCACATACAGGAGCCCATTCACTGCACACACCCCTGGAAATCAAACAGAAGCCTTAGGAAACATTACAGCAGGAGCACTGAGAGATCAGAACTGTTGATACACAAATCTGGACAGCCCTGGAGCCTCTTTTCTCCCTTTATGGTAGCATGACAAAGATTTAGCACCAGAAGTCTGAGTTTGCTCAATGGAAGCACACACTGACAACAGCCACTGGGCTCTGTCTTCCCAGAAAGTGCAATGAAACCAACAAACGAAATGGTTCCACCAGAGATCAATTAAGGGTCTGGCTCTCCCTGCAACTAAGATTGGTTTCGGGTAGAAAGTGAGTAGTTCTCCCAGCCAGGCACTGGCAGAGAAAAGATAAAACCAAGTGCCATTGACTGGCCCATGTCCACACAGCCCTGTGCTTAGCTACCTAACAAAGCCATCAGGCAGGGATCAGCAATAGCAACCAGAGTGCTTTTCTGGGTCTATGCCCATCTGTGTGCAGTAAAAGCCATCACCCTTCACCAGGGAAGAAGGGACCCCTCTGCAACAAAATGGGGAAAGCTCTGCCTGGCTTTGTGGGTCCTAATTTCTCCCCCCTCCCCTTAGTCCAGAGTCTACTCAGCAAACAAACTCTCCCTATTCAGCATACAAGCTCAGCACCTGGGAGTCTCTCCCCTCTTCTTTTAATTTAGAGCTAGTGTCTTCAGGGAGAAAAGTTCCACAAACCTCAAAGCGGGGCCTGGAAGGTCATCTCACCTGCATTGCGCCGGCACATGTTCATGTCGGCCACTTGCTTCCAGGTGTTTGTCCCAGGATCATAAACCTCAACACTCTTCCTCACCAAAGGCCCATCATGCCCACCTGTGGCATACAGCTGTCCATTGAGCACTCCAACTCCTGAAAGGCAGAGAGCATAGTGTCCTAGCCTAAGGCTGGCTATGGTGACCAGGAACCAGGGGACTGGCATACAGTCAGCTATCACTAGTAGAGTGACCTGGGGAGTACCATTGTGTCTCCCTGAACCTCAGTGTCCTCATCTGTAAAATGAATATAATCACATCCCACCAGCCTCCTCAGAATATTGGCAAACTAAAAACTTCAAAAAATAAACCAACTATGACCCCATTTCTATTTTTTAAAAATATATGTATACACACACACATATATACACACAGATATGTAACTGTACATAGTGGAGGGGCTTCACAGGCAAAGGGAAAAAAGACATCCATCCAAACATTAAAAGTAGCTATTTCTGATGGAAAACTACATTTATTTTCCTTCTTGCCTATCCATACTGCCTAGAGTGCCTACAGTGTTGTATTACTTGTATTACTCAGCCTTGTATTGGTTCAATAAAAAGAGCTAAAATGGAAACTAACGATACAGCTGATGTGCTGAGATCACTGTTGGGGATATCCTCCTGCTGATCTTGTAAGCAGGAGCTGTTCTTTCTTCCCACTTCTCTCCTCCTTGACTGTAGAAGCTGTAAAGGGCCTTAGATCACTCATAGTGTTGATCAGTCTGAGCAAAGTGCTAGCAATGAATTATTTACAAATTCTAGTATAATCTTTTAAAATCTTTTTATGCAAATCAAGGAGATAACATCCATAAAGAAGGATGGTGGCACAGCACCCATAAAGAGCAAGTGACCTGGTATCTAGGACACCTGGGTTCTGGGCCTGCCTTTAACTCTCCCACTGGGAAGCCCTTCCCCTTTCTGGGCCTCAGTTTTCCCATTTGTAAAGGGAGAAAGTTGGACTAGGTCAGTAGTTCTCATGGACCATGGACTATACCATTCCATGGCCAGGCTGCGTTTCAATTAGCTGGGAGATTTTTTTTTTTTTAAGATGGAGTCTCACTCTATTGTCCAGGATAGAGCATCATGGCCTCAGCCTAGCTCACTGCAACCTCAAACTCCAGATTCCTGCCTCAGTCTCCCAAGTAGCTGGGACTATAGGCATCCACCAACAGGCTGGTTAAAGAGATGGGATCTCGCTCTTGCTTAGATTGGTCTCAAACTCCTGAGCTCAAAGGATCCTCCCACCTCGGCCTCCCAGAGTCCTGGGATTGCAGGCATGAGCAACCCTGCGTGGCCAGCTGGGGAGCTTTTTAAAGAGACAGGTTCTAGGGTCTTACTCCCAGAAACACTGGTCAGGAATGGGAAGAAATTCCTCAGGTGCTTGAGATATACAGCTAGGTTTCAGATCTAAGAACTAAATTTGTAGAATGTAAACTTCATATGGATGAGGACCATGTCTATGTCATCTACATCTGCTTCCCTGTGCCCAATGGCAAGTTTGTTCTCAACAGATAGTTTCTGAAGGACAAAATATGTAAAATCCCTCCCAGCAATTATGCTGGTATGCTGGAGATTTCTAGCAGTTGCCTCAAACTAACAGCAGATGGTGCTGTTGCATCAACAATGACCATCTAACGCTGTAGGCTGCAGGCTGCAGTCCCCAGTTCCTGGGTCCAGGACTGTATCTTGTTAGGAACCATGACACACAGCACCAAGCCTGAGCTCTGCCTCCTGTCCCATCATCCTCCCTGGCCCTAGATCATGGAAAACTGTTTTCCCCAGTACCCAAAAGATTGGGGAACCACTGAGTTAATGGACTTCTGTTTAATAAAATTTAGTGGGTTCCAAAGCTGCTTCACCATCCCTGCCTCCATGCTTATAGGAACAAGCACCTCCTGGGGCTCAGAGATGGCCTCTTTTTCTCCCTAGCCAACTGCTGTGTTGTCCACACCCTGCTGAGAAAGCAAGCAACCCTCCATGGACTCAGAGCATCACTGTCCTGGTGCAGCTTCATTTATAAATGTTCATGCAGTTCCTGGACTTGGAGCCATGGGGTTCCTGGCCCCTTAAAGGACCTCAGGAAGCCAAGGCCAGGGGTTTGGTCTCTGAGCCTTCAGCCAACAAAATACCCACTACAGTAAGTATATGGGTTCCCAACTTCAAAGGTGAGACTTGCCCAAATCTTAGGGCAATGAAACACTGAAGAAAGGCTGATATGGGGGCCTGACGCCAGAACTCTGATGGTAATCTGAGGGGAAAGGCCAGTCCCTAAAGAAAGGTTACACAGAAAGTAAAGAGGCCAGAAACTACAGCCTAGGTAAAAGGCAGGAATGGGGCAAGGTGATGTCCACTCAGCAATAACTACATAAGAAACTTGGCAGAGAAGAAGCAGCTGTAGCCTCCAAAGGCAGCTCCACCCACCAGGATAAGCCCAGGCTTTCAAGGTTCCTGGGAGCCACCCCATTCCTGCTGAGCTGACACCTCAAGCTATACTAGAGGCTCTCTAGTATGTACACACACAAAGAACACTACCAAGACTTCAGAAACCCAAATCCCTAAGAGTTTTATAAAGAATCATGGGAATTTTTTTAAATTTCAGATTAATGAGAGGGTACACACAATTAGGTTACATTGTTACATTGGGAAGGTAAAGTCTGAGTTGTGGTTGTGTCCTTCACCTAGGAAGTGAGCCATATACCCATGCATTGTTCCCTTTAGGTGGGAACTTGCCAAACCTCTGTCCTCCTCCCCTCTTCTTGAATTTAATTGAGAATTGTGGGATTTGTGAATTGAATTGGTTCTTAGGAAACATCTTTACAACTCACTCAGTTCACATCTGAGGAATTAGAGGCCAGAAATGAGGGACAGGACTTAACCAAAGTCACGGGGAAAGTTAGAGCAGACTCAGCCCTAAATCCCAGGCCTCCTAACTTCCAGGCATTTAGCCCATATTCAGGAAGGGCCAACCTGTCAGGATCAGCAGAGACAAGCTCCCTAAAAATAGCATTCCAGACACAAAAACTTCTTAAATAGAATCATACAGACTTTGCAACCAGTGACCGACAAAGGTTCTTGAAAATATTAAAATAGCATAATTTTTAAGGAATGGTGAGGAAATGCTCCTGCATTTGGTACTATAAAATGAGATCACAATTCAATTTCTAAAGAGAGAGACAGAGAAAGAGAAAGAAAAAAAGGAAATAACATTACAGAGGGAAACTCCCAGTTGTGGCTTCTCTTCCCAGAAGTCAAACAGTCTTCTCACAAGGACCAGGTCAGCAATCAGTCACCATTCACCACAGGAATAAAGAGCCAGTCTGTCTGCCCTCTCAGACCCTTTCCTCTGGTCCTCTAAGGTGATGAGGGGAGACAAAGTAGGGAAGAAGGGGCTGTTGTTCCACTTCCTGAAAAATCCCTTTGGACCAGAGAGCTCCTGGTCTTCCCACAAAAACCTCAAATGGAAAGCCATTGGGGAAGTTCTCCTCCCGTGTTGGGGAGAAAGTTAAAGTGAGGAAAAGTGGGGGTGAGGGACATAAGTTTATCTCCAAATATGAACACTACTAACTTGCTTCCAACACGCAAGACAGAGTTCCAGATAGGCAAGCTTAGCTTTGTCAGCTGAGACTAGGGACAGCAATGTTTGTCCCATTCACAGGAATGAGACTTGCATAATTTGGGGTTAAAGAAGTTAACTCTGAAGTGAGAATCCTGACCCTGTGAGTTACCAAGTATATGACCTTAGGCAAATTACTCAACATTCTGGTAGAATTAATTTCTGAATCCAGAAAGTAGAATTAATATTGTATCAACCTTATAAGGCTGTGGTGAGGATTAAAGAGATGGAAGCATAGAAAGTGCTTGTTATAACAACACTGACACATAGGAAGCCTTCACTTAAAAGATAAGTAGGCGGCTCCATGCCTGTGGCTCAAGTGGCTAAGGTGCTAGCCACATACACCTGAGCTGGTGGGTTCAAATCCAACCTGGGCCCGCCAAACAACAATGACGGCTACAACAAAAAAATAGCTGGGCATTGTGGCAGGCACCTGTAGTCACAGCTACTTGGGAGGCTGAGGCAAGAGAATCACTTAAGTCCAAGAGTTTGAGGTTGCTGTGAGCTGTGACACTGCAAGAGTTTGAGATTGTTGTGAGCTGTGACACTACAGCACTCTACCAAGGGCAACATAGTGAGCCTCTGTCTCAAAGAAAAAAAGACAAGTAGACAACTCTGTAGAAACAGAAAATATGACGATGAAGAGTATTATCTCATCTATTCTCTCCCAAACGGATTCCCAGGAAAGGTCAATTTATAAGTGTTGTGTCTGGCCGAAAAGGTGTTAGTGGAATTATATACAGTAAAAGGAAAGAAGAGAGAGATAAATAAGTTATACATAGTAACAGGAAAGTTGTTGTTGAACTCAAGACCCATTTGTGAGCAAAACAGATACAGCCTGTATCCTGAGGCTCCTCCATACCTGCACCACTACGGCGAGTGCTCATGTCTGCCACGTATATCCACTCATTGGTCGCTGGGTTGTATTGCTCCACGGTGCTCAGGCATTGGCGGGAAGCCCCATCGTAACCCCCAACAGCATATAGCTTCCCTGGAATGGACAAAGTGGCTGAGAGTAGTGCCAGGGACTCTGATGGAACCGGAGCTCAGCTGAAGCTCCATCTTTAACCCCCTGGAACACTCTTACCTCAATCAAGAGTTCCGGGCCCCCTTACTCCAGGGGACCTCCAAATTATTCCCCAACCAGCAAAGCATCCTTCACATTTCTGCCTTCTACTTGCTCTGAAGCCATGAGCTCCTTAGAAGTAAATACTGAATTAACCTTATTCTAAATAAGTACCCCAAATACCCAGCACAAAAGATGGCCTAGCACTAGTGCAGCTCAGCATATTCTTGCAGGTGAACCCTAGAACCACACAGACAGAAAACTAGTAGGTTCCCAGCTACAGGCAGGCAGGCCAATTTTCTGGTTAAAGGCTCACAATAGCAGATGAAATAAATATTTAAAAATATTCCTCAAGGAGAACTCAAACCCTGTCTTAGCCACTGTTTCCTTCCCTTGTACAATTCTGTCAGGTAAAGTATGTTGAGTGGAATGTTCTCTGTACATTCTGGGCTGGGATGGCCAGAATCCTTCTAGCAGACTACCCAGTGACCCAGTGATCTAAGCCATGCATGAGGGCCCTGAAATATCACCATCTATTTTTAAAGATAAAAATACCATTAAGCTGCTGTACAAGAGCATCATTTCTGCCTGGGTCTGAAGTTCAAGAATGAGGTTGGGCAAGGAGGCAGAAAATTGGTATTTGAGTTATCCCACAGCAGAAATTCAAATGTGAGTTCAACACTTAATCTTAGAGTGCAATGGGATGGTCTCTTTTGTGGGGGCAGGGGAGGAGTCCTACCTCACCTGTGGGCTTCAGACATATGAGGGATCTATGGAGTTATAATAAGAATCTTGGACACTGTGGACTAAAAAAATATTGCCAAATGCAAATCTACTTAACAGCATTACTTAATCAATAGATTTGATAGGTTTTTTGTGTGTGTATGTGTGTGTGCAGGGTTTTTTTTTTTTTTTGGCCGGGGCCAGGATTGAACCTGTCACCTCCAATATATGGGACCAGTACCCTACTCCTTGAGCCACAGGCACCGGGCTAGATTTGATTTTTTTTTTTATCATTAGGTGCTTTCTTAATGGGGAGATTAAGAAGTAGTATCAAAAGTACAACTAGCATGTGAAAATCTGCAATTATTTTAAGTTAGAAAGGTTCTCAGGCACAAAACTATGCTCTGCCAATAGGACTACAGCAAATGTAAAATTATTTCTTCTTCTATCATCAAGGCTGGTTTTATTTTCTGCCCCAGAGTCCTTTTAACTGACCATGTAAAAGAAAGAAGCATCTCTTTCTCAGTTCTTCCCTCACCAAAGTCAAAATAAAAAGGCCTAACTGAGCAGCTCCTCTAGGGTCCAGGCTACCTGCATGGAGCATGCTGGTTCAGATGCAACAGTCTGCAAAACACACTCTCCACCCTGCTGGGGAACTTCTACCTACACTCTGAATCTTACTATCCCTTTAACTACACAGGGATTCTTCAAGACAGCCAGCAGCAAATTATCCTAATTTCCTCCATTTTTTTCAGAGTTCATTCAGACTATGTAGCCATGGTAGTGAGATTATTGGAAGTGGGGAGGTGGTAAGCCAGACAATGCAATGTGGAGCCCTGTCTCTTCAAGGCCACAGCAAAGCCAAATCTACTCAGCTCCTCTCTTAACACTTACCAAAGCTGCAAATTAGACTCTGTTGCCCTAGGTGATCCACAGCCCAAAGAGCTTCAGATTCAAGAGGGAAAAGAGAAACAAACACTCAGTCTGTCCTCCATGTCAACAGGGCACGGTATAAGATAGCACTTCTTCCACATACAGAACACACTCTCAAAAGCCTCTGTCAAGGGAGTATTTTAAATTACTACCATTAGGGTACCTCCTCTAACCCCCCACCAACCATTCCAACCCTGCATCCGCTGAAAAAAATACCCACTCAAGGTCTCTCCTTGAGTCTATTAACAGGGATTTGCTATTTTTAACCATTACTCTATTGTTTGATATTCCTGGCTAAGGAACAAGGGGAGAAATGAGAAGGTGGCTAGACAAAGCATTTATATTTGGCAGACAAATCAATTTCTATTCCACCAGGCGCATGATTGCAAGAAATAATTTATCTTGGTAGGACAAAAATCTCTGCAGTCACTACAATGACTTGGTCAGTATGTTAGAATAATATAACTTTAAATGAAAATTTAAATTACATAATACCAGTATGAACTGAGAAATACAGTGAGAGAAAAGAATCTTTCTATTAATAACTACCTTACTAGATGTTATACTCTCCTCAAAGCATGTTTATGTTTGTGTGTTCTCATGTTTGCACAAGAGAGAGGGATATCTGCATATATGTCTGAATGAACAGATATTCTGGCTAAATTCTCGAATCAAGACAGGTTACTGAATCAATGTCCTCCTGCAAACAATAACAGTATAGTTCAAATGATATTCTATTCTCTGGCACACTGAATTCAGACATATTTACAAAACTCCTACCTATTAGCATTTGACAACACTCTGGAGGAGCACAGCACCATGGAAAAAGTACTGAACAAGGAGTCAGAAGACCTTGGATTCAAGGACGGCTATGCTACTTAATATCATTGTAACATGCAGCACATCACTTAACCTCCATCTGAGAATGAAGAATCTGAGTCCTGCCTGTCTCTGAAGGATTTCACAAACAAAACCTGGATGTGAAAGTTCTTTACAAACAACTATGCACTGTCTGATTGGGCCCTACACCTCACCACTCCCTACTGCCTTACCCCACACACCTCTCCTGACTAGAGTAGGACTTAACCATCAACCTGTCCTGCAGACACAGAGACAGTCATCAGAGTTGGGAAGAAGTGTTCACTACACTCGTAGTTCTGTCAATGTTCAATATATGGCCATCAGGATAAAATTAATTAAACACAATTAACTTTCACCCCCACCACATTATACTCCTGCAATAACCTGTACGTATATAAGTACTGACTCTGGGTTCTCCACTCTCTTCCCCTCCCCAACCTTTGGCAGAGCCACTGACAAGTGGTCAAAGCAACAGATCAGCATCTCTCCTCTAGGCTCCATTGACTCACCTATCCTAGCTCCCACACTTACTAACTAGCCTTGGGCCAGGAGCTTCACTTCTCTGAGTCCCAAATTCCCTCCTCTGTTAAATAAGAATAATGCTTAACTCAGAGTCATGATCTTAAGAGTGGTACCAAGGTAGAGGAACCAACAAGCATGATGCTGAGCCCAGGACAAGAACACTGGGCAGGAGAAGGGCCTGGCCATCATCCACTGCTGCCTCCTTACCCTCCACAACGCCCACGCCCACGCTGCTCCGCCGTGTGTTCATGGGGGCCACAAAGAACCACTCGTTGGTCTTATAGCTGTAGGCTTCCACCGATGCTAGGCCTGGGAGACAAGAGACTCATGAGACATCCATGGCACCAGGCCTCACCAAGCTATGTGAGAAACAGTGAGTATGGGGGAAGAGTCCATACCTGGGGTCTGGAAATTGGGATGTATGGTTTGACACCCCCTCTGCCTTGCTGTGGTAACTCCCTGAAACACATCTGCAGTGTCTACCTGAGGGAACCACTAAGACCTGACTCAGAGGGTGGGTTTTGAGAGGACAAGGGGCATACCTGAACCACACGGCAACAATTTATTAAACCTACGAAATGGAAGTCTTTGATTCCAGGTAAACACCTGAGGTTGCCTCACTGAACACCTGTTCCAGTCCCCTTTTCCCTTGTCTTCCTCTACCTGAGAAGCTGGAAAGCTAAACACTTGCCTTCCAGGACTCTTTTGCAGGTAGAAGTGACCAAGTCAATGAGACCTAAGCAGAAGTCTGACGGGATTTCTGAAATAGCCTTTGCTTTTCTGATATGGGTGCCATCCCTTTCTGTTTCTTGCTACCTATAACACAAATGTGTTGGTTGGAGATATAAGCCATCTCGTGATCATGAGGAAAAAGCCAAGAAAATCTCAAAGAACTTGGCTTCAATATCCTTGAGCAACTGGACCAAGTCAGGAACTGCTGAACTCTTGACTTCTTGTTTCATGAAAAAAAACCAACTCTCTTTTTTTTAAGCTATAGTTGAGTCAGGTTTTCTACTTAGAGCCAAAAGTGATTCCTAAAACATACAATGTACCATTATCATTGTCCTTTTGTTCTCTTTATTCCCAGGTCCCATTCACTAAAAGCCACCTTCAAAGGGGACAAAGACCCTGGGATCTTCAAAGGGGATAAAGACCCTGGGATTATATGAATGAGGCAAAGAGAGGGCTGAGAAAGGTCACCAAACTGTGAAGACACAAATGAAAATTCAGAGTAGTAAAAAGTACTGTTTTTTACCTCTCTAGAAATGAAGGGACTTTCATTTTAGTTTAATAGAGTTACTGCCCTAGAGACATCTACCTGCCAATATGAGTAGAGATGAGATCATTTCTCCAAGTTCATGTCAACTAATGGTTTCAGATTAGAATGTTGAAGTTAGACATAATTCTGGATGGAGCAAGGGGGCTCACCTGTGGTGACAAAGCCTCACAAAGCTTCAGTGAGGTAGTAAAAGGGACAGTGGAAAAACAGGCAGCTGGGCCTACTGTGTGGCCTGAGCTAGGTGTCTTCCAACTGCTGAACTTCTGTTCCCTGTCTAGTCAGTAGATCATTCAGACTAGAATCCCGAGGTAACCCCAGCTAAGCCTTTTCTGTTTCTAATTTCCATCTTCTGAGTAAACAGATTCTAAGACACTGGAAAGCAGGCAAAGGACTCTGCTGAATGTGTAATGTGTAATCCTTGCTAGAGCCCTAGAAATCATAGTATGTGGGCAGTTATACATTCTGTATTTAAGGAGGTCTGGCTCTAGGCCCCAATGCTGGATGTGGATGAAGGATGGGTATGTTCATGGGGCAATAGCTACAAGTGAACAGAAGGTTAGCCCAAGAAATGGCTGAACAAAATAGTTTTGCGTGAAGGATATGTCCTGGGCTGGAAGAGGTCAGAGACACATCCTGGACCTACCAGTACTGCCATCAAATCCTCCCACCGCATAGAGCAGGTCGTTGAGCACCGCTGCGCCAAGCGTGCTCCGGCGTTCCTGCATGCTTGCAATGGACGTCCACTGGTCCTTCACACCATCATACACATCCACTGTCCGTACCCGCAGTGAGCCATTAAACCCGCCCACGGCATACACATGGCCAGCCATGAACACCACACCTGAGGCACAGAAAACCAAGGAATCAAGGTACGGTCAGGCAACAGACTACTTGTGACAACGGGAGAGCAAGGCAGGCACACACAAACTCATCACAGAAGATCATCTCCAAATTTGATTCTGGAAGTCATTATGGGACTCACTGGATTTCTTTCCTCTGTTTTTCTAATTTTGAATCAAGCAAATACTTGAATTAGCTTAAACTCCCCAAGCACATAAGAACTCATCCCAGAAGAGGTAGTCAAAAACTGTGCAGGAAGGGAAGGAGAGGGAGTCTGAGGCACAGATGTTTGAGGAACCAAGGAGAAGTTTATGATTTCCAGCACCAAGTGGAGACTAGCCAGGGAAAGATAGCCAGCAGGACCGGGAGGTGGTGCTGCTCACCTGCTCTGCATCTCCGGGACGGAAGCTCAGCGATCTGATCCCAGCGGTCCTCCTCAAAATCATAGCACTCCACGCTGCGGATTGCCTTGGGTGCTTGGCCACCAACCACAATCATTACCTCCAGAAAGACAAGTGAGTATTAGCTGGCTCTTTCTAACATCTGGATTAAGGAGTGACCAATCCCTAGTACTTCCACACATTTATCACTCAGGGTTTGGGAGTGATCTAAGATGCTTGTTTACAGAGTGCCATACAATCACCAGGTGTGAAAATTCAAGACAAGTCTAACAAGCATCTTCCCACAGAAATACAATCGGTTTCCCAAATGCCCCATTCAGGAGTATGTTGTAGGTATGTGAAGCCACTTAGGGGATCTTCTGCAATCTCAGTGCCCTTAGGATTGGGGGTGGAGGGAGCTCAACATTACTTATATCAAAACAAACATGGATATATTTTGAAAAAGAGTACAGAATTAGGATGCATTTTTAATATAAAGTTATTCAAAAATATTTTTGAATACCTAGACTGGAGGCACTTATTAACTGCAGTACAGAAAAAAAATCTATGAAACACTATTAAACCAATGATGTTCTGAAAAATAGTGTTAATAAGTACAATTTCCACAAGTAAGAGTGTAGCCACCACTGCTGGGCACTGTGTGAAATGTGCCATCATTCACTTATCACCACGACTGTGAGGTAGATATTATCATCTGCATTGACCTAGAAGAAAAGTAAGGCTCGGAGAACATATATAAATGGCCCAAGGTCACACAGCTTAGAGTGGTGGAACAGAGACTAAAGCCCAAGTCAGCTGACATAGGGGTGAGGCCAGTCCCACCCCTCTCCTGCTCTGAGAGAAGGGTCCATGCAAACACAGCTCAGTAATGAGATCAATCTAACGGACTACAACCAGCATACTTTAGATAGCAACGCCCAAAAACTATCATGTTATGCATGCCATTTCATGAAATTTTTGTTTTGGTTATATATACTTAAGTCTTCTAGGTAGCAATTTAAAAGTATTTTTTTACTTCAGGGCATGGCCAACAAGATGAAAGCCCCTGCTCTGGGTAGGTTAATAGAACTGCAGCGCTTAATTGTGGTATCCACGTTGTTGTGACTTTTGTCCTATGTAGTTGATAAATAAAAATTATTAACAAATAACGTTCACATATTTTAATAAACTTGGATGAATTCATCTATGCCCCACATCATTCTCACTCAATGGCATTCCAGTACGCTTTCTTGAGTGAAGAGGAAGGGGAGGAAGTCACAGCCCACCAACATCCGTCACAGGACTGGATCATGATCTATAGTCTGTCATATTTACTCACTGGTCCTCAGACTTCAGTGTGCAGCCAGAATCACCCGGAGCACAGATCACTGGGCCCCATACTCAGAGTTTCTGATTTGGTGGGTCTAAAGTGGGACTAAGAATTTGCCTTTCTAACAAGTTTCCAGGTGATGCTACTACTGCTGTTCTAGGATTCATACATTGAAAACCACTTTTTTTTTTCTTTACAGAATAGAACTTAGACTCTTTATTTTTAAAATGGAATGTGAACCTTGCTATTTACTCATTTACTCTCTAAATCACTTATATTTTCCTTCTTCAGCAACACAAATCGCCACAGTTTCAGGACTTGTCCCAGACACTAGCTGTCTCTGCTATTCAGTCGAGATGGTCACAATTTGAAATGATGAAGTATGCTAACTGTCATTTATTCTAGATCTCTTCTGAAAACCACTTTTTTAACCCACACCTGTAGGGATTTCCCAATGACGGGACATTAACAAATTTTGCCACTATGAATTAATCATAGTGCTTTCTACTTCCCCACAATGTATTTTGGGGGAAAAGAGAGATCATCAAAATCTGTGTGAGTTCACAGGAATACATTCCTCAAGTGAGCATTATCCACCATGTGGAAGGCAATACCAATGGCAACCATTGCCCAAGACCAGTCATTTATGCCCAAGTTCCAGGTTCAGGATTACTCACTGCCCACCTAGGTGGTCACTAGTCATCAGAGTTTATCCACAGGTGTTTGTGACCAAATTTGTGTGACCATAGTTCAAAAATCCAGAAGTCAATTCTGAATTCTAAAGCATTCAAAAAAAACTCAGAACACACAGTCCGGACTTAAGCTGCTGCATCTGTGAATTGACACCTGACTTTCCTACATGCTTCAGTGCAGAGGGTCCACTGGTCTATGTCAAGAATAGCCTTTCTCAGAGAAAGGCTGAGTTCTGCATTACTTCATCTATAAGCCTTTGCTTAGATAGGCATCCATGAGCAGTTTAAGGGAGGTGTTAATGAGTACAGCCCCTTGGCAAACTTCAGACAATGCCCAACTTACCCTGTGTTCATAAACATACCTAGAACAGGCATTGTCCTTCTTGTTTTGAGTTGGTAAAGCTAAAGTGAAGGCAAAATAGTGCAAGGATTTTCCCAGAAATATGACTTCTGGAGCTGAGTGAGAATAAAACCAGCTTTTAGTTTTCTTTCTACAATGACTTCAGGCATCCCACACCCTCACACACGTTGTTCTCTATGTTAAACATTCTTCCCCTTTCTGATCCCTCTGTTTAACACCTGCCTATCTTTCAGGTCTCAGTTTACATGTTACTTCCTCCAAATGGACATATCTGACCCCCAAGTCAGAGTTACTAGCCGTTTCTCTGAGGTCTCACCTGCCTCCTGTGTCCTTCAGTGTGCTGTAACCATCTCGTGACTTCTCTGTTGCCCTCCTAGACAGCGAGCCCTTCCACAGCAGAAAATTTATCTGCCTTATCACCAAGATAACTTTAAGTACTCATGTCACATCCAGGTAAAATCAAGGGCTCAAATATTTATTTGGAGTAAAGAATAAATGAATAAAAACTGAATAGCACACACAAGAAGTTAAAAGAAAAAATACAGTTAAGTGAAAAAAAAATATGAAACTGGAATGTCACTTTCTTTGGCTAAGATGTGTTAGAATACCAGATTACAATTCTGGGGACACTGAGGAAATCAAAATAAAAAGAGGAAGCAAGAGCTTTCTTTGTTTTGACTCAACCACCATAAGAAAGTTTGCTTATCTTTTGCATAAGCTATTGGTCTTTTTCTGAAAATTAAAAAAAAAAAAAAAAGGCAAAGCTTTAAAAATAAAATCCTTACCATGCCCCAGAAAGTGTCTTCCACCAGGAATGGAGAAGGTACATTTATATTGGAGAAAATCTACCACTCATCTAAGAATTTTCATAATAACACAGAAACACTATTACAAAAATACAGAATTTTTATGTTAAAATAAAACGTGGAGTAGAAAGACAAAATATAAGATAAAGCTTTCAAAACAAACTTGCCTTTGACCTCATAAAACCAATGGTGAGAAACAACTTTTAACATTTGAAATATGTACACCTATTTGGGAACACAAATTATGAGATTTTGTACAATAGGATCATCAGTTCCAGAAGTAGCTCAAGGCAGCCAGAAGAGCAGGTGGATATTGTGTTTCTCTCATAAGCACAATAAATTATTTTATTTTTAGTTGACCATAATAGTTGCCCATATTTATGGGGTACAATGTAATGTTTTGATACATGAATACATTGTATAATGATCAAATCAGTTTAATTAGCAAACCTATTATATTAGACATTTATCATTATTATTCTTTGCGGTGAGAAGATTCAAAATCCCTTCTACTAGCTATTTTGAAACAAACATTATTGTTACCTATATTCACTCTACTGTTCAAGAGAATACCAGAATTTATTTCTCCTATCTAACTGTAACAAAGTATGCTATTGACCAGTTTCACCTCATTCCTCATACCTCTCCCAGCCCATGATAAACCACCATTTTGCTCTCTACTTGTGGCATTTGATCATGTGGTATTCATCCTGGCTCATTAAGTCTGGTTTATTTCTTTTAGCATAATGCCCTCCAGGTTCATCCACATTGTTGCAAATGACAGAATTTCACTCTTTTTTATGGCTGAAGAGTACTCCTTTGCATACTTATACAGTTTTTAATTAACTCATTCATCCGCTGATAGACACTTAGGTTGATTCCATATCTCGGCTATTTTGAATTTTGCTGCAATAAACATGGGAGTTTATTATCACTTATCTCTTCAAAATACTGATTTCATTTCCTTTTGATATATACCCAGTAGTGGGATTTCTGGGTCATATGATAATGCTCCTTTTAATTTCTCCTGGACACATTATAAAGAAATTATGAAGAAATAAAAAAGTCTAAATACACCAATAACAAGTAATGAGATTTAATCATTAATAACATGTTGCCCATCAAAGAAAATCCCAGCACTTAAGGGCTTAACACCGCTAAATTCTTCAAACATTTAAGGAATAACTAATACTAATTCTTCTTAAACTATTCCAAAATATTGAAGGAGTCGGAATACTTCCAAAGTCATTCTTTGAGACCAGCATTACCCTGATGCCAAAACCAAACAAAGCCACAACAAAAATTAAAAATTACAGGCCAATATTCCTAGCGAACACAGATACAAAAGTTCTCAACAAAATATGAGCAAATCAAATTCAATAGCACATTAAAAAGATCATTCACCATGATTAAGTGGGATTCAACCCAGGGATACAAGGATGGTTCAACATAATGCAAATCAATAAATACATCACATTAAAAGAATCAATGATCATGATCATTTCAATAGTTGCAGAAAAGGCATTTGATAAAATTCAACATCCCTTCATGATAAAAACTCTCAAAAAAATTAGTTATAGAGGAATATACCTCAATATAATAAAGGCCAAATATGATAAACAGTTAACATCATATTGAACAGGGAAAAGCTGAAAGCCTTTCCTCTATAATGTGGAATAAGACAAGGATGCCAACTTTCATCACTTCTATTCAACATAGTACTGAGAGTCCTAGCCAAAGAAATCAGACAAGAGAAAGAAATAAATGACAGTGAATTGGAAAAGAAGAATTTAAATTGTTCACAGACAATGTGATCTTTTTTTTTTTTTTTTTTGAGACAGAGCCTCAAGCTGCCGCCTGGGTAGAGTGCTGTGGCATCACAGCTCACAGCAACCTCCAACTCCTAGGCTCAAGCAAGTCTCCTGCCTCCAC